ATGTTTGTTACGGATAAAAATGGATCCTCTGTTAGATGCTGAAATAAAAAGCATCCTTTTCTATTTCAAGGAAACCATGATTCCGATTTCTCTAAAATTTTACCTGTTGAAAATATTGGTAAAATGTCAAGTTCCCCGATTGATACATTTCAAGTGTACACATACTGTACTTAGAGACAAAAGCTACAGACATTTCTTTCGACATTGTGAACATCCATGCCGTATCAACATCTGCAGAAATATTTTTAAGTACATTCTAGACCGTTACAATGAGTTACTTCCTGACTATTTTGACTATGTTCACTTTCTCCTCGTTATGACGAATTACTTTACTGAAGCCATACCTCTTGCTTGCAAATATTCAGATATGTATACTCCTGGATTGAGGGTTCTCGTGAAGAAATAATGGAGAAGTATCCCAATTACATCCGTCTACTTTCAACCAGTTGGCACTATAATAAGGCTGCGGCAAACATGCTATCTCATACTGAGTCATTTAAAAAGGAGGATGGACTCCCTCATTTGACATCGATTAAATCGGAAAGCTGTAGCTTTTCTCAACAAGAATGTAAGTGACAGTTACACCGGATTTCGTGCTAAAGGATCAGCTATTTTTTCTTCGTGTCAAATGAGGAACTCGGTATGAAATTATTCACTGCCTGCTAGCTTCCAGTATACCGACATGAAAGATGTGTAGGGCTGTTCCATTCTGCCGCAGATTCTTTAAAATATTCATCGGATGAACAATATGTATTTACCGAGTATATAATGTATATATAACGGATTCTTGAACAACTTCAAAATTCCTGTCCTAATCGTTATAAATGTATTATTTATCCGTTTTATGCGATTAATATAATCATGTTTTTAAATCATTGATTAAGGTATAAATATCACATGAATAATATGCATTTACCAATTATGTAATGTATAAGTAATAGATTCTTCCACAACTTTAGAATTCCTGTCTTAACCGTTATGTATGCATTATTTATCCGTTATATAAGGATTGTCATAATGATTTTTTGATATAAGTGATTAAAATATAAATATCGGATGAATAAAATGTATCTACCGATTATATAATGGATATACAAAAAAAAAAATTGATATTTCTGTTTTAATCGTTATACACTGTTTAATTTATCCGTTAAAAAGGTAATATTCTGATTCCCAATTTTAATTGTTATTAAATATTTTATGTACCACTTATTTAATGCTTAAATAACTGAGTTAACTGCAAGTAATAGAAAACCATGTTTGACCAATAACTTTAATTAACCGTTAATTAATTTTTTTATTAACTGTTAAGTTCGTTCGCTACTAGGGACGTAACAGTATCAGGACTTCTCCAGGGATATAATTACATCATATTTAAATTGAGGAGGGCAGAGTTTAAAATAGCAATCCTAGTCGACGAGTATGACGCACCACTACATAGTGGGATTGAAAAGGAGTAGGATATACCGGAGAGGGTAGTTTTAGAAAGGGTCAGTACCAGATGAGTGCATTATACGATGAAAATGAAGCTTTGATGAGAGAATTGATCCTTTTTTTCTGCAAGGACGGCGTTATACCCCATCTTGACGTCATCGTTCTTACTGGCATTACTTATACATCAAAAAGCAGTATGTTTTCTGATATGTCTAATTTTCAAGCGTATACTGTTTTAGAGGATGATACTTTCGGCCCATATTTTGGTTTTCAGGAGGACGAATTGAATGATTTAATCGAAAGAACAAGATCAAACTTGAAGATCAATGAATTCGAAGAATGGTACGATGTCGGAATCTTTAACCCGTACGCCGTGACTTTGGCAACTGAATCGAGGAAATTCGATACTTTTTGGGAAAATTCAGGATCGTCCAAACTTATCAAAACACTCATATTTTTTTCAGGAAGTTTTGTTTATCAGTCTCCTTTCTAGGACGTACATTCTCTGGAAAGAGAGTTGCCTGAAGACGTTCATTCCTTGAGAGGTTTTCTCGAGACGTCCATTCCTCGAGTTGTGTCAGGACACACATCGTTCTTACTGGCATTACTTATACATCAAAAAGCAGTATGTTTTCTGATATGTCTAATTTTCAAGCGTATACTGTTTTAGAGGATGATACTTTCGGCCCATATTGTGGTTTTCAGGAGGACGAATTGAATGATTTAATCGAAAGAACAGGATCAAACTTGAAGATCAATGAATTCAAAGAATGGTACGATGTCGGAATCTTTAACCCGTACTCCGTGACTTTGGCAATTGAATCGAGGAAATTCGATACTTTTTGCGGAAATTCAGGATCGTCCAAACTTATCAAAACACTCATATCTTTTTCAGGAAGTTTTGTGTATCAGTCTCCTTTCTAGGACGTACATTCCCTGGAAAGAGAGTTGCCTGAAGACGTTCATTCCTTGAGAGGTTTTCTCGAGTTAACTGCAAGTAATAGAAAACCATGTTTGACCGATAACTTTAATTAACCGTTAATTAATTTTTTTATTAACTGTTAAGTTCGTTCGCTACTAGGGACGTAACAGTATCAGGACTTCTCCAGAGATATAATTACATCATATTTAAATTGAGGAGGGCAGAGTTTAAAATAGCAATCCTAGTCGACGAGTATGACGCACCACTACATAGTGGGATTGAATAGGAGTAGGATATACCGGAGAGGGTAGTTTTAGAAAGGGTCAGTACCAGATGAGAGAAATTTTCCGGTCTTGTAAGAACGGAGAAAATCTCAACCTTTGTGTTAGATTTCCTTTTTCTATCTACCCCAACCACGAGTACGTTTAATTAACAGTTAATCTTTCTACCCATCGTTCCATCCGCATCTTTATGCCTAAAGCCAAGAGGCCATCGAAAGCCCATCGTCGAAAACATACATCGCGCTATGTTAGCCGCTTTGTTGCTTGCCATCAACGGTATCCAGCCTGGAGTTCCAAGCCATCCCGCCCTATAAAGTTCGTATACTCTGAGACATTCTTTCCTTCTTCTTTATCATCAGTTTTACCAGAGTCTAAGGCGAGGACAATGCAGGACAACAACAGGAGTAAAACCCAGGAGTGGATAGTTTATGACGACGAAGAGGAGTTCGCTCCCATCATGCTAGATGTTGCTCAGGCTTTGGACCCGAACGAAATTGCCAACTCTCAGTTTAGATACGAGTGAAGGTCACAACAAAAATTCCCATGAAAAAGATCGCGGAAAGGAAGGGTAACATTTTGGCTGTAAGGAAACTGAAAAACGCTATCTGCATCGAGGCCACAGCGGAGAAAAAAGCGGACATTGTTTCGCTTTTCAAGAAAGACCTAACTCCCGACAAACTTGAGGTTAAAGAGGTTACATGCGATGTTGTTACGGTGAAGATTGCTACAGTACCTAGAGAAATGGAAGATAAGGAAATCATCGAGGGAATCTCTGAAGGCCTGGAAAATGTACCCTTGGAAAAAATAATGGAAAATGTCAACTTCTTGAGGAGGAAAAATGCACGGCAATGGGGTAGATCACTGGTGTATGCTCGTATTGGTGGAGACATTGCAGATAGAGTAATCAAGAAAAAAGAATTTTTCATGGGTTATTCTGGTAGAGTGCAGATATCACCTGCCGTATGTGTCATGTCTTGCAGTACCTGTGGCGATTTTTCACATTCCAAAAGATTTTGTACGATGGAAAAAAGGTTATGCTTCAAGTGTGCGAAAGATGATCATGAAATTGGCAAATGTAAGATACAAGAGGTCAAATGTATCCTCTGTACACGACGGAATAAACCCGCTGGACATGCCTACGCCTCCTCGATTTGTCCATTATACCGCGAGGCAATAGAACGACAACTGGCACGCGAAGGACGTGGATTGGGTGACTGTACGATGGAGGAGTACCTACAGATAGATGATGAGTCATAAGTTCATTGAACTCGAGTGCGGTCATCAAGCGGCTATCAGTTCATGCGAACAATGCGTTCAGTGCGAACAACAACGACCGGAGAATTTTAAAGATCCAAGTAGAGTATGGAGTAGGGAGGTTAAACTACCACGAAAAGAAGAGAGGAATAAATTTAACCTGCTGGCAACTCCGCTTCGTTGGGAAAAGAATACTAAATTAAACAATTTAGCTGATAGGAATAAGTGTGAACTGGAATGCGAGCATCGCATTCCTATATAAAAATTTACATTGCGATGGAACTTGCAAATTAGAAAATTGCAAAGTTGCTGCAGCAAGTAAGATTTACAATTCAACGAATCATTCATACGAATCATAATTTAATGTCAATGTCATAGAAAAAGGACACTCACAGCTTATTGATTATCTTGATAAACTTTGATCACAGTCCAGCCGTGTACGACTATGCATCAAACAAAAGTTATATCCCTCATACCCCACAACAGGTCATAGGCCCGGTTAATGCGGAGTGTTTTTTCTTCAAGTTTTCATAAAAAAAAAGAGAAAAAAAATGGCCTGGTTCTCAAATGAAGCCGAAATAAAAATCGTGAATGACTTAAACATTAAGAATCTATCCCCGTACACACTGTTTGTGCTTCTGGTTATAATTCTCGCGTTTTACTACATTACTCAAAAATACCAAGCGATGGAAAAACGCGCACCAGACCTCGAAGCAAGATTCTAAAAAAATCGTTTAAGGGACAAGATGTGACCGAGTGCAAATACCATAAGTGCGATGTCGCAGAACGAAAACGTGAAGATGACCAATGAATACGCAGCACCGTACTTGCAAGTAGAGAAATTAAAAATTTGTCGAAAACTACAAAATTTGTGAATTTCAAACCAAGGTCTAACTCAGGTCTAATGTATAGTTTTTGAAAGTATACACTTGATGGAGTCAAATGTTGTGGGTACAGCAAAAAAGTTGTGGGGCCTCTTTTTAGCTTGTGAGTGTGTGAGTTCAAGGATATCCGAGAGCTAAATTGGAGTTGCCCAAAAAAAAGATGTCTCTTTCCTGATGACAAAATGTCTCTCTCTTGATAAAAATTTTTTGAATTGAATTCTACTGACTATCTTTATTTGCATTGACCATTCTAACTCTGAATGCATGTGGACTGAAGCGTTTTTTTTTTTCCTGTATGTGTTTCAGGGGCTCAAGAGTACAAATGCAACACTTACATTTGCCTTCCAGGTGTTCGGAATTTTAGACAGAGAAAGAAAGCTAAAACATGGTGTAACGCTCGCCCATGTTCTGGCCCTCGGAGGTAAGCTGTGTTCTAGTTTCCCTATGGTTTGAAATTAAGAGTGGGCACCCCTGGCCGAGAAAAATTATTTTGTAATGCTGAAGAATGATGTGCAACTTCATCAACTGATCCACAAAATAATATGACAACTTAACTTAAGAAAGAACTCAACTTGAAAAAAAATTAAAAAATAAAGAAAAAACAGGGCATTTCCAATGATATTAGTTCATGCCACTGCAATTGTAAGGCAAATCAAGCAACAAGCCCTGGGATCTCATTCCTGTTCTCATATATTTGGCATGCAATTTTGAAGAATTAGATAGGCTGGCCATCATTTTGGCTCAGACTGAAAACAAAAATGCCTCAAAGCTATCCATAATATGTGATGCTAAAATTAAAGAAATTAAAATGTTATCAAATGACACTCAGGGATAGCATGTTTGATATTACTGGGATATACATATTTGCAGCTGTAGAGGCGGTACTGCACTACCTGTAGACTGGCCAGGTGGGATAGAACTTACGATACGTAAGTTGATACCTTCGATCTGAGATGTGCTGGAAGAACACAAGTTCTAGAAAGCGGCAACTGGCTTTCGACCATTGACTACCGTGAGTTCAGTGCAAGGCAGCATGCGAACTTTTTTGAGGACTACTCAATCAATACTATTGTTAGCCTTCTTCATCATCACCTGAAATGGATACCAGTAAAACATGGTCAATAAAAGGACTGCTAGAGACACGAAGTAATCTTCTGTACTGGGCCACTTTTCACAAGGGCCAGTGACCCCCTTTTTTAAAATCATATTCTGAAAGTACAGAGTAAACTGAGCTACTGGGCATTTCTTTAGATTTTTCTAACCCTAAATAGCAGAGAAACTCTCTTTTGAAAATAACAAAAATGGGACCCATTTAAAACAATATTATTGGAGGACGTTGATGATGTAGCCAGGCATAGGAAACAGTGTTAGCTGATTAGCTGAACTCATCTTTAGGCACAGTCTCGCTATGAAAACATGACCATCTGCTTTTGATTGATCGGATTTCAATAAGCTTTTTCTCACCTTCGAAATAATTGTTTTAAACTTTTAAATGAATTTTTTTTGGTCACAAAATTGAACGTAAATATAACTACATTACAACTCTACAAAAATTCTATGCCTTATAAGTTTCACAAACTGTTAGGTGCCTTGGTTAACTGAGTTGCAAAGAAAGTGATTTGACTTCTTCCACAAAAACAAGGGTAAAAATTTAGGGAGTCTTCCAAAATACGAGCAGATCTAATCTTCTGCTAATAACAAGAAGATGCGTCTATAAAAGTTCACTTTTAAGGCAGTTTCCTGAACTTCTATTGTTTTGACTTTCCATCCCAATGATACATCAAACTATTTTCAGAAAGAAGTTTTTGAAAAGTCTGAAAGAACAATATTTTGGGCCATGACCAACAGAAAAGTAAGTCATAAAATATTTCTAAAACTTAAAAATAATACTGAAATTGGAAAAAATATGCACTTAAAGCACAATCTTGTGATATCGCGATCAAGTATTTTTAAAAAGTCACTGTACTTTTAAATTGGACGCAATGGACGCTGTTATCAATGCACAGCTGCACAGACTGCACATCGCAGCGAGAGCAACTTGCAATCAAGATGGTAGCCTCTATGAGAGGGATATTTTTGGATGCCATATTGGCTTTCCCAAGTACTGAGTACACTGTCTAAACGGTTTCTTTGACAAGGGCTAGATTGGTAAATGTAAAAAAGCATCCTTCCCTTACCCACATTAGTCAATTCTACTTTCACAACTCCACGCAATTACAGACTTAACCATTTTGACAAGATTAACCCCTTTGGATTTCTTATCTTCAGATGTAAGACATTATCTGCTTGTTTTTGTCAATTTTCTTCCGGTATCCTTTTAGATTTAATTGTCCCACCCCATCTTCCTGCTTGCCTGATAATCATGTCCACTAGAAGGGAGAGGATGAATGGCCTTAGATGCATACGAGGAGAAGTGGGGCAGCTTTGCCAGCCCAAGTGTACTGTGCTAAGGTAAGGAAAGGTAGTAAACATCAATATTTGTGTCTCAGCCACATGGGAATGGCACATGTTCAAATGCAAATATCTCCTAACAAAAAAAAAAAACAAAAAAACAAAACAAAACAAAAAACAAAAAAAAAAAACACAAACAAGCACCTACTAACTACAGACTCCCAATAGTGTGAACCAAAGTTGAGCTATTAGCCAATTTTACAAATATATGCAACACAAAATACATGCAAAAAATGTGCAAGAGGATGTTAACATATTTACAATTTCGCCTTACCATGGTGGACAAGTAAACGTTTCGACCAACACTTTGGTCTTCATCAGTGCAAAGGAAAGTAGTAGTTGTAGTAAGTAGTGTATGTAGTTTTTTCTATTAAAGCATGGCCTGAGTTGCGATCATTGCATATATTTGTAAAATTGGCTAATTGCTCAACTTTTGTTCACATTATGAGTAGCCGAAAACCGAAAAATCTTGCAACTCCCAATAGTGTTACAAGGTTCTATTTTGAGCTGGGAGCTTCAAACTTACATGAAACTTTGTAAGTTGGCTTGATATTTTTGTAATACAATATTTGCAAAATAATCCTTTGAGCAGTGGTACCAATACTTTTATTTTGAACTTTTTGGCATTACGATCCTTTTCACTAAGAACGGTTCCTAATAGTGCTAGAAATGTTAACGATGATGTAAGGTCTTCAGGACCAAATTAATTTATTCTTAAACACAACACTATTGAATGCAGAGCAAACAAAAAACAATCCCTTGCCTAATACAAAAGATGAAAACAGTGGAACACGGACTTACAATTTATTTCGTCATCATCTCCACCAATCGCTTTCCAGAATGCCATGACAACTTTTTCTGCGCATGCTTTTCTTTCTTCGGATGGCAAATTTGCAACTCGCTCTTTCATACTCTGCAACTCCGAGAAGAGCTCGGAAAACTCTAGCTCCTGACTACCTTCACTGAAGAGCTCCTCTGTATAAAAAGCAATGAAAGTTAGAAAATGATTTCCAAAATTTTGGACCTTCCCTGGTATCAAGGCTACCTACTGAGCTCTGAATTTGACTATTAGCAGATGAATATTTGACAACTACACAAATGCAAAAAAACTTGGGTTAAATTATTACTTTGCCAAACACCTTAGAGCAGCAACAACTCTTCTTGATCAATTAATTTGATTTCATCCGTTCAATTAAATGCAAGTAAAACATTTGTATTTTTTGAGGTGAGCTCCCTAGGTTTGATCATTAAAAGTGGATTTAAATGGAGTAAAAACAGTGTTACCGACTTAAGAGAATCACCACTGCCTCTAAGAAAACAAAAATAATGTCAATGCGATTATACATAAATGTAATATGACATTAATAATCTTTCTTTCTTGTCAGTTCTTTAGGAGACTCAAGATTGTTTTTTAATAGCTAATGCCCGGTCCTCGCGAGTAAGGTTCGAGGAACTTATTCGACAAACTGCTCAGTTTCCCGAGACTTGTTCCTTAAAACGAGGATGCTATCCACACGAGTTCGCCTGAACTGGAACCGGAGCTTCAATAAAACTATACAATTATTGCAAAATAATAGATTATTACGGCCGCGAGAGTAACAAAAACGATGGTCAACACATAGAGGACGTAAAAAACAAAAACGAACGAATTCACAACAAAAGAAACATAGACTAAGTTCAGAGTTCAGAGGAAGTTCCGAGAGAAGTATGGAGGAATGAGTTTTAGCTCAGCTAAAACTTGTTCCGAGAATAAGTTCTCTGAACTAAGTTCCGCGAACCACGCTGGTGTGGACTCCAAGTAGATAGGCAGGTTCATCCCTTTAAGCTTTTTAAAAATTTATCTCTTTAAGTTTACATTCTTGGTCGGTTAAAGAATAATCTTTTTGAACATTAAAGAGAACTATTTAAAACCAAAGGGGGATTAAGGGCTCTCTGTACATTTTGATGAAATTTTCATAAAGTAGCAAGAAGTTTATCATAGGTCTGAAACCAAAAAACTCAAGGGTTCTTTTTGGATTGGAGCCAAGACATTCTGAACATGTGCACTACTTCCATACATGCTACTGCACCGCAGAAAAATTAAAAGTCCTCCATCCTGACAGTGTGTTTTTATTAGGTGCGCATAAGTCAGATTGGTTATCACACGGCACCTTTCCCTTTCTCTCACTGTTCTATTCTGTCTGGGCAATGTGACGCAATATCAGATTTGACTATTTGTACAAAAGCAGCCTAGTTGGCCTCCTAATCTTCAAATGAAAGGCACAGACTACTTGCTCTCGATAATTCTCCTTCATCATCTTTCTTTCCTCACCACTGCTGGTACTCGCTGGATTATAATGTGAACTTGAAAGAAAGCAATGAATAGTAAACAAAAGGGTTCCTTCCAGACGGATGCATCAAGGGAAGGCAAAAAAGGGGACAGGAAGCAATTTCTGTACCTCCAGCAAACAACAAATAAAGTAAGTGTTCAAACACAAATATCTCTGCTCCTATCTAAGCGAATTGGCTAATTTCTTGGCTTTGAGCCAATAGTAACCTTTCAGTTAACTCATTCAAGTTTCATTAGATTGGTAGTTTCATTAAACTGTTTCCTTGGTAGTGATGTTTCTCCACAGTTCTTTTGGAATAGTATCATTAGTATCATTTGCCAGCTTCTGGAGGATCTCTACCATGACAGATTCCTGTAGAAGGTGGGCAGCGCAGAGCGCCCTTGCGCGCCATAAAAGCTACAAATACAAAATACATACACATCATTAGATGATAGAGTCAACTGACAACTCACCTATTTTGTCTTCAATTTCAGGTCCGTTGGGTGCAAATGGGGTATCAATATTCAATGACTCTAAATCGGCAGCTAAATTGGAGGGCACACTGTCGTTTTGAGTCAGAGTTTGATGTCTACTAGCATTCCAACCTGTCAAATTAAATAAGATTTTATCTTTTCTGAGCATAAAAAGTTCAAAGTTTTCAGTGATCGATCATCAGCAATTGATATATTTCTGAAGTTAATATAAGTCTCTTGATTTTTTTGTTTCCATAAATTTTTTATTGGGGACTGAATAAATTTTAACTGAACGCATGAACTCAAGACTATACATAATGAACCACTGGACAAGATAAAAAGTTCAGCATTCTGATAAATGTTTCTTGTAAAAAATTCCACCTAGAACACGATTCGCGCAACAAAAATTACTGAAATTAAATCCTAACCAAGATATTTGATGTTTCTTGATGCATGAATCCAAACCTCCCACTCATGAAAACGCAATGGTCTCCGCAGTCAAAACACGTACTAAATGTTGCCCCAACAGTCTCTGTGGTATGTAAAAGTGGCAACCTTGATTTTGATGCTTTGGCTATGCCATAGCTTGTTGTTAACACTTTAAACAACAGAAGGAAGAGAGGGAACATTAATTGATTAAGATGCTTGCCACAATGGGTCTGTTGCACCTATTTTTTTTAATTCATTTTCTAATAAAGTGCATCATTCTGAGCTTCATGAATTTTTCCCAGAATTTTTGGACCCCCCAAACACCCCAAAAAAGCACCCAAAAGTTCAAAAAATTTTGGCGGGAAAATTTAAAACTACAAATGACGGGAGAGTGAAGCCATTTTGTGACGTCACAACCAATACCCCACGTTTGTTTATTTTACAAATACATGGATTTCCCCATAAGGGATCGAGAGGAAAATTTTCAAAAGGAATTATCAGACTGTTAGAGGCCGTATTCATCAAATTTTCTTGCGATAATAGACTCTTTATCCTCTCTAGTTGATAAAAAAATCCCTAGTAACTTACAAATCGCATCAGATGATTTAATTATTTCCGATGCATCAAAGCATGTCACGAAAGTGAGGTTATGTTTACAATCTTATCTGGGATACATATAAGTCCTGTTTTCACGGTAAAACTCTCATATAATGTAGTTTTAGGTTCCTTATTCCTAGGAACTATCTGATGCAGCTTTCCGAATCTAATTCATTGAATGTTGGATCATTAGATTCTACTTTTTTGCATGAAATGTGTCTTGCTCAGCTGCGCTAGCTGACTAGCTGAGAGATCAACGTACTCATTTGAACATATTTACTTGTTTAAATCTGTCCGCTCATAAGTAAATAAGTTGAAAATACCATCAATTTTACGTAAGGTAAGATTCTCTGCCAACCAAGCACCAGCTATGAACTGTTGGAGGTCCTTAATCACCCGTCCGGTTGAGGAGTTACTACCCCTCCGGTTAGTCCAGTGCCTGTTTCGATGAATGTATGGTATTTTAATAATTACTTACAACTAATGATGCAAAGAGTATATACAAAAACTATATAGGTATGACATCGGGAGTAAATATTTAAGTCAATAGTTTCCATCATATTTTTAAAACTTCCAATGAAAGGTAGCTGTTGCAGTAAGCAGGACAGATCAGGAATACCTCACTCATACATCATTTGCACTGAAATACTGGGACAATAAGTAATCATTAAGAGTCAAATAATGAATACAAACTTGGTTTTACACAATATATCCGATATATGCGTTGATGTATTTGAGCAAACAGCATTGACTTGACCAGCAAAACCCCCTAAAGGGAGACATAACCACACTTTCAGGACTTCCTTACATGTATTAAACTTTAATATGATGCGATTTTAACATAGTCGTTGATAAATTTGTAAAGTAGAGAATGTGAAGAACTGATATCTGCAAGAAAATTTGGTGAAATAAGTTAAATATCGACCGAAATTCGTTTTAGAAAAACGACTTTGAATTCCTTATGGGGTAGCACAGGTGCGTCGAAACGGCAGGAATAAGATTGCTGGTTGTGACGTAGACGACCAATGAGAGGCCTCCGTTGGAACTTTGAACTTTATTTAGCTTTTGCAGCTTTAATATCAAACTAAGAATGTTTTTAACCACACCAACCGTTTTCTCGTGAAAATTTACATCGGAATGACTCATAACACTCCAAATCCCTCCTGAGTGCAACAGACCCATTGTTGTAAAGTGCAATTTGACTAGCGTAGAGTTTTGCATTTCTTGTGACCGGGCAGTTCAAATTTCCTGCAGCCAATGTAAAACAAAAAGTTAATATCTTAGTTAAGAGTTGATTTTGGTAACTTCTGATGCAAGAATCGTGTTCTACGTGAAATTCTGGTTAAGAAACAAGTCTCAGAATTCTTAAATTCGTACCTAGTTAGTGGTCCATTTACTAGACTTTAAATAAAGCAGTAAGAGTGTAAATGATTATCAGTAGTGCAAAGAACTCCGCACAGAGCATGGGGTCAGCAGCTCTCGATGAAAGTCAATGAAACTTTAATAAATTGATATAAAGTTCATAATTAAGGGAAAACCAAAAAGTGAGCTCATTTTAGGGCGTAGAAACCGAGATATTCGCAATTGTATCCAGACTATTTTCCATCATGCCGCAGCATGGCGGAAGAATTCCCAGTCCCCTCTCCTCTCGTTGTTCGGCGTTCTCGATCAGACCTCACGTCACTCACATGAAGATGGGTGCTTATGCGCTCGGCCGGTGCGAATGCCGTACTCTCTCCCTCTCCCCTTGTCTGTCAATTCTGTTTCAGCAACTACATTTCAGATTAAACTGGCCGGCAGCGGCGGCACGAGAGAGGTGCGAGAAGCAGGGAACTCCATGTCGCACAGCCCGAACGGAGCGTCCTAATGAAAGGAGTGAGTGTAAACAATGCAACATCGTAGTTACCTGGTGGGGAGAGGGGGTTTTCTGGCCTAAGTGCTCAAGCAAGGTAAGGCGACACGGAGAATTTACCTTCGCCGCACAGAAAATAGTCCGGGTTCATTCGTGAATATCTCGGCTTCTACTCGCAAAAGTGAGCTAATTTTTTGGCTTTCCCTTAATTATGAACTATATACCAATCTATTAAAGTTTCATCGACTTTCATCAAGAGCAGCTGACCCCATGCTCTGTGCGGGGTTCTTTAACTTTCATTTCCTTCAAGGAAGCTCGTTAAAGGGGCAAATTAAAGTTCAAAACACTAGTGGTCATGATTCAACTTTTTCAATCTTTTGATAGATGTCTTAAAAGATAATAACAGGGGAAAGCTAATGAAAGTCATACTAGATTCTGATTTCATCGTCATTTCAGGCCAAACATGAGCGTGGAGGGCTTGAATGATCCTGGTAACACCAGTGCTCTCCGCAAAATCACCATCTTCATCCTCATCTTCGTCCAATACAGGAGAAAGTTCGACCAACTCAAAGCCTTTGCCGATACACCATTCTTGGGCTTGAAAAAAAACATGGAAGAAAAAAATGTTAAGTATAATTTGCAATTTGGTAATGACAGTATATTAGTTATTTTAACAAAGCCATGATTAATTACTGTCCATAAAAAATTTCAAAATTCGGAAATCACTACATCTTCATGGCATTGATTTACAAACTTTTATAAGAAGAGTCCATAAGAGATCATTTAAGTAAGATACAATGTTAAGACACTTTTTTTTTATTCTGGTTATATCTACAGTTTTTAAAATTAAAATACATTTTTTTAAAATTTAAAATTTTTTTTTTGAGATCTGTGTAATAGATCAACGATATACAGGCAGTTTGGGAAATTAAGAGTTTATGCCGATTATGTATACAATTGCTTAACATGATTATTTGTAAAGGTCATTTTAGAGTTTCCTATTTGAAATTACATCTAGATACATCAGTGTTCTGCCTTCCCCCTAAAATTTTAGAAGCCACCTTGGCCGGCAAGCCCAATTTTTAGGAGCCAGCTACTATTTTTTGGGAGCCAGATTAAATTTTTGCATACAAACCATGGCGAATTTTCTCGCTCTCGGGCTGCGCTGTGAACGGTGCGTATAGAGAGCGCTTCATCGCTACCACTGCTTCTCGATTGCGAGTTCAATCTTTCACATTTTTTAGGCGCCACAATGGCCCAGCCCCCCCAATTATTAGGCGCCAAGGGCCCAAGGTACACTCTACTACAGGTATGGACAAACGGGGTGCTGAAGTGGCAGCGCAGAGAATCTAGGACATTGAGGGACGTCGCAAGTCGTATCGTCTTTGCCGCGCAATTCAAAGTTAGGTTCTGGCAGATCCTGATAGTTTCAATAAGCTATCAGATGAATTTAAAAAATTGACATAACCCCAAATAAGGAAAAACTTAACTAAGAACATGAAAAAATAACACGAAATTGACGAGACCCACTTGCAGAGCAGAAAGTAAATAAGTTTTCAATAAGGCGTCGCAGTCGTACCATTGAACGCTGTCAAATCCATGCATTTCGACGACTTTCTAAAATTCCATTTGTTCATACCTGTAGTAGAGTGTACCTTGGGCGCATTTGGCACATGGTGCCCGGGGAAGGCAGAATACTGAGATACATGTTTTTCAACATGTCAAAACATTGTTAACATCCAAAGTCTACTTTTTTGGTCTAAGGTCCCAATATGCATCACAAACGTTAATATAGAAATGATATTCGGATTTCTGCATTGATATAAAGCTCATTCAGAGGAAGACAGGAGGTTATATAAAGGAGTCCAGATGAAGAGATTCCCATTTGATTTATACTTAATCATCGATAATTCATGAGAGTTCTGTTTTGCAGTAAAAATGTTGATCAACAACAGTCAAAAATATCTGACTCACCTGTTAACTTGGAAATACCAACATTAGGTTCTGACTGGCACTGATCACACAAGAGAATTTTTACATCTGCTTCGTATTCTTTCAAAAATGACAGCCATTCATCCACATTAGTCATAGCATTTTCCTGGAAATTAGATCAAACATCATTATTTCAAAAACTTTAAAAGTAGATGAGAGACCTAAGAAGAACCCACCTCAGTGAAGTGATTTAAAGAGACACGAACCATCATGGGATTATAAAAGAGAAGGCAAGAGTCATAACTGAACTAAGTTACAATGAAAACACACCAACTTGGAAAAATGAAGTGTTCAGGAGTCACAAGAGACTGCACAGCAGGTGAAGAAGTTATGATAAAAAAAACCTTTTCATACAAAGGACAAGTAGGTACTCAGGGCAAGATTTTAGAAGCGTCTCAAGGAAAACTTTTTTTAACTGTTTTTTTTTTAGGGTAGCTTCTCCACCTATTGAGCAATTTTTGACGTCTCCTGAACATTTTCTGGAGTTGATGTGGTTTCATTCTCACCGATTCAGTTTTAGGGTGATTTTAAGTGGTCTGGGATGAGATCAATCACTGCTTTGCACTGCTACACAGTTTGTTTCTCTAACCAGCAATATTTATTGTTATGTATACATGAATGTAAGAAACTGATTCATAACGTCTAGCAGCATTAATATTAAGTAGTATAACATCAGATTCATAAAGATTCATTGAAATCTGGTATCAGATACTACCCTAATGGACATGCTCATTGAGTCAATGTGTGAGAGGGAGGTATAATAACGCGGCCTCTCTTATACACATTGAGTCAATGTGTATATGTCAATTGCACATGTGCACTTATCATTGTCATTTTAATTACAAAACAGGTCCGGGTGCTTTTTGGACAGCCTGTGTATATAATACATACAATTGGTTGATCTTGGAGATTTGATAATCAAAACACAATCTCTAATAGACATAATTAATTCATCAACTGCAGGATTTCCTGTTATATACATAATTTGTTCAGTGTCTTGTTTCCTCATGATTCAGACTTTAACTCTCTGTTGAAAAAGTGGAGACATACAGAGGTTGAGTAAGAGAAACTCTACACTTACATCTGAACTGTCAAAATGTATGATTATGGCTTGAACTGTGTCTGCAAAGCTCTTGTTAGCAAGGGACTTAACATCTGTGCAGCAAAGATTGACAGAGGCGGTGTAATATTTGGTGTCAACTTCCCACGGGTACGAAAAGGTGTCTTTTTCTATTTCAATGGCAGGAGGCAGTTCTTGGACTTTAAGGATCCCTGAAAGTATTAATGACAAAAAAATAATCAAAATATTGTTGAAAACCATATTGTGCCCAGAGCAGGCTATCTCTGGTCGATGGAGAGGCAAAGTTATCATGGTGGTTCTTCCAGGATTGAAAGACCCAAAATTTTAATACGGTCAAGTTTCTTTGAGGCCCTACTATTTTGCAAATTTTTAAATGTAATTGCGTAAGAAGTAAAATGTTTCAGTTTGCTATACTGCTAGTTAGTTACGTATATCCAGATTGAAGTAATGAAATGCCTCGCCTTTCATGTTGTTCATTTGCTCATGGGATGTCACTTGGTATAAATGCCCGCTCTTTCTGGCCGTCGCTAAGTCCTATTTAATTTATTATACTGAATCATTTTTCAACAAAAAGTATTAGGAAAGAGCTTATCTGGCACCAGTAACACAATTTTTTGGATTATTCCAAAGCTAACAAGGAACAGACTGGGTATTGAAATTATTACTGAATAAACCATAAAATGTGACATATTCGGGGGGAAAATACCCTCAACTCATCAAAAGCTGATCAAATTGTAAGTTACAGTGTATATTTGACTATTCCGGGACACCATAAAATATTCTGCCGTACCTACCTTTGGCAATATCTGAGAGCTTCGCAGAAGTTTCGCCAACTATCAGTATGCTCTGAGCAGCAGACATGATTTACTTGCGGTCGGAAGGGTGGAAAATAGGTGAGACAATGCCTGACGTCTGGACCAAGAAGTCAGAAATGAAATTTTGCAGGACGGTTTCCTGGGAAAAGTAGAATAATGATCGACTGATTGGTAATTACACTGAATCGTAGGAGTTTGTGGGGTCCAAAGAAAGGTTGGAGCGTTCGAAGACCTGGTCTTCATGCACCTGTAAATAAGACATTATACACTGCAATGAATGATGCAGATAAACGAATAATAGGGCCGCAAAAATTGGCAGATAAGAAGCTCAGTTAAAAAACTGGCTCATTCCACTACTTTAAATGGATTCTCGGTTTAGTGTTCTACATGACATCATCGTTTTTCATATTTTAGCTACAACAGCTTCTATTTTGGAGAATCCAAAGGGTTAAGGTAATTCGACGGACGCCATTTTTTGTGTCAGAGCGACGTGCGATATGTCGTATCGATTTGTTCCATAATTCAGCCTAGGGGTGTTCAAACGAATTCTTGCCGGAACGCTATCGATATCGTCTCTTATTGAAACTGGCGCAGTACCGACAGTAGCAATGATATCGACAACAGCCGGCCTTATCGGATTTTTGAGAGCTCGCACTCAATGCATTGTTGCCCCGTGTGTCAGTTTATCAGATTGCCTGGCGCGGCCGCGCGTAAAATAGATGTACAAATGGCAACAGCTTATTTTCGCCAGCTCCGAAAACTCTGATCGCTATCGACAAGAGCGCTCTTATCGTAACTTTTTCTTAACGGAACTGTTTCGGTAGCTTACCGACAACCGATTGAACAGCCCTAATTCAGCCATTTGTCATTTTTCGGAATTTTGAGATGGCACTTCTGTTGTCATGAGTCTAAAGATTTCATGTACCAAATTCGAAAAAGAAATTCAACATAAGAAGGGAGTGGCTTTTTTAGAGGAAAAATATTTCGTTCGATACTGATAACGAAACTCCACTCAAATGCAATATTTTTCCTCTAAAAAAACCACCCCTTTATTACGTTGAATTTGTTTGACAAAATTGGTACGTGAATTCTTTAGTCTCCTGACAACAGAAGTGCGACCTTAAAATTTGCGAAAAAAGAGGAATAGCTGAAATTTTGGAACGAATCGATGCAATAGATCGCATGTCGCTCTGACACAAAAAATGGCATCCGTCGAATCACCTTAATCTCTGAATCAATAGCCGAGGAATATTCATACAAATAAAGCAACCTGTAAGGCCTTAAAATATGTTACTCAGTTCTGTTGCCGATTTTCTACACATAATCATGTGACCATTCAGATGATGGACCAGAAACAGTGATTTCAACTTTATTTGAAGAAATTAAAAGATTCAAGGAATGACTTGCAGACTCAATCAGATTTGAGGGTTGCAAACTACACGCTCCGGTACAACTACCCTTTTATTTAGACTGCTATTGTATAAACACCTTAACAAAGAAAATGATGCGCCATATAGGTAATAAGACTGCCATCATTGCCAATGCTGAATTCTTTTGGATAAAATACGGACTGATGAACTGACTAATGCGCCATCAATGTAAAGCTAACCAAAACAGTATAATACAACTGTTAATTAAACACAACTCAGCGATCCCATTTCTCTTCATAGATTGTCAAGTGCTAAGTGAAAATGTTAGGCATTTATGAGTAAACAAGCAACACAATCGATGTAGAGAAACCAAAAACATTGAATCACGGGTCTCTGTGCATCCTGTGTTACGGAAGGCGAGACAACATTTAAAAATTCGCATGCCGATGAGTGTTAGCACCGACCCGCATCAATGAGTTCAAGTGTCCAAATTGCGCACATCTGCGTGTGCCCAGTAGCGGCTCCAATGGATTTTTGTCAGATTGTGAGGCTTTTTTGCTCAGTTGGTAATTAATTCATAAAATTAAACATTGCTATACGGTTGAAAAATTATGTGTACTAAAACTTTTCTTTTTAGGAATTTCATCTGAAAATAGTCTCTACACAAGATATTCGTGAGAAACCGAACGTGCGAATGAATTCTCCATTGCAACAGTCTCTGTGAGTGCTTGGGACACACGCTCTCTACCCTTCCCCGCCCGCCCATCATGGGGCTCTGTGGGACTCGTCTCGCTCCGCCTGTACTAGACCGAGCCGGACGCACAGTCTGCGTGATTCAATGTTTTTGGGAGGAAAGCTGATCGTTTGGCATCAGGTAGCTCTGTTTTGGGACAGCTTCCTAAAGGCCTGGATACACACGGTGATTGATTGCCGCAAGTGAAAGTCGAAAGCCATTGGAGAGCCTTGATTTCAGTGTATCGACGTCAAGGGATTGAAATCAAGGCTCTCCATTGGCTTTCGTCTGTCACTCGCGGCAATTAATCGCCGTGAGTATCTAGGCCTTCAGACAGTGTACAGGTACATCTATAAGTTCTAAGGTGTGTAACAAGAGACAATCTTGACATGTGGTCCTCCTCAGCATCTATCAAGACCAATCCACACAGGTCAGTCATTGCGCAGCTTTTTTGAAATCCACTCCCCCGCCCGGCCCTAACTCGCAGCACTCATTGTGACGTACTATTGAGTGCACCCATAAGAAATACATTGTATGCACTCAATACTACGTCACTGCGCAGTAGAGAACCAAAATTCGTCCTCGGGAATGACTGACCTGTGTGGATTGGTCTTGGCATCTATTCTGCTTTCCATTGGCTACTCAAACAATAAGAACCTCCTTATCACATATCTACTGTTGTTACAAATTTTACTTACTCCTTATTGATGGAGCTTTTCTGCGAAGTTGACGATCTTCTACTACCAACGATGAGGATCTCCGACTTCGAGCATGAGGACTAATCTTCGATTTTCACGGTACTTACACAGCGATAAGTTTTCGTTTTCAACTCGCGCAAAATCTTCTACGATTAGTAAAGAATTATTCTCCGTACAAAGACACGAACACGTTGGCAATAACAATTGTAGTAAGTGCGAAACGAAGGCTTTCAGATCAGAATTCAAAAATCTTGAGATGATGATTGACGAAGACAAGACATGGAGGTTAGAAATACTACACACTAACACATGCGCACAAACCATGAGTGCCAAGTAAGGCAGAGAAATTGAGACTTTTATTGTTATTTTTTGAAACTTAGCAGTAAAAAAATTCGATGATATGCAATCTCATCATAATTTGCCGTTGGCTTTACAGACTCTTAAAATTAAAATGTCGGTTATAAAAACAAAATAGTTATTAACCAAAATTAAATGAGTTCCTAATCGGGCAATGTGGCATCGCAGGTTTTATGAAATTAGTCAGAGAGCCCGGGTCTTTTCATCGACCAATGATGTGCAACTCTCGGCCGTCTCCTCTGTTTTGATTGGTTGATTATCTTTCTGGACTCTTCCAGAATTCCGAATGCCCTCCATCGAAAGCTCCTGAATGGTCCTGATATTTCTAGAAAGTTCGAAACACTGATAAATTGAACGGAGCCGGCATTTCGAGCATACTTTGTGATTGTGCATTGTGTAGTGAAGTACTCAGTGCGATATTCGCCTTCTATTCCCTGTGTGATCATCAAGTTATTCTCAGTGATTGTGATCGAAGTGATTTGCTGTTCTTTACAGCTTTTAATAAGTTCTCATCTACTTTCTCGCAACTTTTCCAAGTGATTATTAAAGGTGAGTTTTCATCTATGTACCACCTCGGTTCCCCTAAGTCGTATCGCACTTTTAATGTCACATCCCTGTTTTCCGTCCCAGGTTTTAGACTATCCTTTGGCCTTTTTAGTTAGCAGTATCTAAATTTTTTTCAATTCCAAATAGCATCCACTTCCATCTATAATCCAAACCCCAAAGTGCCCTTTCCCTGTCACGTTATGCGCTGAAGCCCTTGTTTAGTTACTCATGAAAGTTCAGTGGTGGAATTCCGAGAGCCATTTCCATTTTATCATCTCGCCTAAGTACTTTTTCTTCCATTATGGGAAGTTTATTGGTGAGACGGGTTGAAGCCATCCATACACTTGAGTGTCTTTGAGACAATGTCTGAGGTCTTCCTGCAAGTTCTAAGTTGCATCAGTCTCTAAAGCTGTTTCACTCATCTTGACTAGATCTTGTTTACGTACTCTTAGTTCTTGCTATCGTCAAGCTGGTAGTGCCTACCTACGTATTTACCGTTACTTTGAATATAACTGCCCTGCCGGCAAGTGGTACATATTTTGTTTGAGGAACTGCCTGCTGGACACTGGTGGTGAAGTCATTGCTGGATACATGAAACAATGTTCCAATGTGCATGACAGTCTGAAGCAAGCATCTGCCATCTTATATGCGACTTAATATTCTCTTGCAATGTGTACTTTGAGGTGTAGCTAGGCCCAGCTGTCATCCACTTTTGTCGGAGGCTCCCCACCTCTCCTTTTGCACTCTCATTATCTACTAGATTTAACCAAGGCAATTTTTCTTTTCCACAGATGCAATCTGCTCTCCGTGCCGCATTGTTGAACGAACTTGTGGATGAGCTGACCAACCCACTCTCCGCACTAACTGACCAGAACTTTGGCATTGGATTGTTGACTGATGAGTTGAACTCACGTCCCCGTTACCAACACACAGCTCTCTCTCTTCCCTTGGCTGCAGGTTACGTCAGGCCATGGCGCATCTCTCCAGCCCAGCAGAGTGGAGTCTCCAATATTCACCATGACAAAGCAGCTTTTAAGGTATGTTCACTGTTTCAAATCAAAGTGACGAGGAGAATTGATAGAGAATAGGCCGTTTGTCTTTTTGTTGGAAAGGCAAGGCCCTGTCAGAAAAATTTGTGTTTGTAAACTTTGTCAAGATGCTATAGAGACAGATCATTCATCTCACAGTCTATTTACAGGAGCCCTGTTAAGGTGTCAGCAAGAGAAATAGGAACTGTTATGTCACAATTTTAGGACTTTCTTTGCTACATTTCCTTGTTCATATTATTTATTCTCCATGATTATTGACAAGGACTTGATTTTTTCCATCAATGAAGGCTGCCCTCTTTTATTATAATGTACTGAAAAAGAATGAACCTGTCGTGATGTTTGTTCCTTCCCTAGTAGCAGTGGCTGTTGAGAAAAGTTGTAAATAACTGGTAAATTTGAAGAGATCTCTTAAAATTTACTTTAAAACCACTTGAAAATTACCTTAAATAACTCTTGAAATATTTGCATAAGGAAACCCTTTTTGGGGCTTTTTTCACATAAATTTGAAGACAAATTTTAAGTAAATTTTTTATGCAAATTTTAAGTAAATTTTTATGTAAATTTTAAGTAAAATTTACGTATTTTTTTTAGCTTCCTGCAGGCAAAAACGAGGAAAATAAGTGGTGAACAGAAATGTATGAAAGGAACATTAGCAGCCCATAAAAATTGAGGATATAGTTTATTGATTTTTACGTAAATTTTATGTTTTCTCTTAATTAATGTAACGCTATTTTTTTGCTTCAAAGTATTCCCCAAAAGGGTTTCCTAAAACGAGTATTTTAAGAGTTATTTTACTTAAATATTTACGAAGTCTTAGAATTTCCAAGTTTTTTACATTTTTCTGGAGAACTTTTGGTAGAACTTTTTTTAAGAGCCATTGCTACTAGGGTTAGCATGTCAACATCACAGAAGGAAAAGTCGGTGGTGCAATTCTCCATCATTTTTGTGATGAACCCTCCGAACTGACAAAGATTCTGTTAGCATGCTCTGTCACAGTTTCAGTGAAGGATGATGGAAAATAGACCTTCCAATGACTGTAAAATTCTCGCATTGTGACGTTGAAGTCCTTATGTTCCTAATCAGCTCTTCTTCGTTTACCAGACTCAATCAGAAAAATATAGGTTTATTCTTCTAAAGAATATACTAGGGTAGCAGTCTGTGCCCTGTTAGCAATGTTTGCCTTGTCCAGTTAAATCATACCTGCCTTCTGTCTGTGTGCAGGTCAACCTTGATGTTCAGCAGTTCCAGCCTGAAGAAGTCAGCGTGAAAGTCGTTGACGGTTTCCTAGTTGTAGAAGCTAAACATGAGGAGAGGCAAGACAAGCATGGCTATATCTCCCGATCTTTCACTAGGAGGTACAAATTACCCAAAGACATCAACGAGGATGCTATTGTATCCAGTCTATCCTCTGATGGTGTTCTCACGATCTCAGCAACAGTCAAGGTAAATATCTGATCTGTAATTTTTATTCAAAGAATTCTGCCTTTTCTCATTTCGCTTAGGTTTGTTCCTCAGAAAATTTGTACCAGTGGCGAGGTATGCCCTGCGATGAATCGATTGATCTGCCATTCAAACCTATGGAAAAGAATAGATAAACGGTGTTCGCAATGAACATCTTAATAATCTGTGGACTGGGATCTGTCCCAGACTGGAACTGTACTGAGACTGTAGATCTGTTCATCATAACTGTAGATTGGGAAATATCGATAATTGATCATCCACGCCTCGCCATGGATGTGTACATTATGGTATTCATTGAAATTGAAGGGGATTTCTAGAGGAATGTCACATTCGGCACACCAATAGGGCTAAATTTGAGAATTATCCTCAGCCCTGTAGCTTCAAGCTCCACAAAAAGTTTTAACCATTTGAATTTTAAATAAATTTGAGGTATCTTTAACCCTGAGGTTCAGCTCACAGAAAACTCAAGTTTTCAGTCGAAATGATTAGTTTAATTACATATTCAAGAAATTTTAGAGAAAGAATACAATTTGAATCGCATTTAGCAAAAAAGACCTAGCTCAATCACAATGTTGGAAAAATGTTGCTTCTTCATAACAATCTTAAAAATCTCCCAGAAGAGCCAATAGTTTTGAGTATCCACCCAAAGAATAGTTGATTTCATAAGTAAATAATTGTGTACATTTTAATAATGTACATACGTTAAGTATTTTTAAAAGAAAAGAAATTGCACAATTTTGAAAACACTGCAATAGTGCTAGTTCCTTTGATGCGATCCATTGAATCTATCAAAGATATCTTCATCACTTAGGATGAATGCATGCTCCTTTAGGGGTGAAATGAATTTTCCTTGATGCAAAGGCTTATATATCAACGTCTGATAAACTTCTTTTCAGGTACTCATGACTCTAGAAAGTGCCTCTTCCTTCCGTAGGAAAAAAGATTCTTCAGTTTATCTGTGATGTTACAATTCATAACTTTTCTGAAGTTGAGGTCATTAGGCATCATGCTTTTGTAATTGTTGCCCAAATTTTTTAGCCACTTGGAAATCATCAGTTTTTTTTTGTGTGGTGGTACCTGCTTCTTTCCAAGTTATTTCACTGAAGGAAGGAAAATCATGAGTTTCCCATCAGGGCCTCAAATATTTGGCACCAGCCAATCTTCTTATTTGATAACTGTTGGCCGCAGTCAAATCGGATTTCCTTCTGTCATTGACAAAAGGTACTTTTTTGTAGCCTGTCATTCAGATAATGGTCTTTTTCTTTTTGTTTGTCAAATGCTAATTCATAATATTATGTACAGTTTCTCTGACCCAATCATCTAATATTCCTTCCGTTTGTCCTTGTTTCAGAACCAATTGCCAAGTGGTGAAAGGCAAATTCCAATCACTCAGACCAATCAACCAGCTTTGAAGAAAGCAAAATCTGATGCGCCCCAGGAGAACGGCAAAGGCGACAAGATGGAATCTTAAACCAAGTTCCATTCTTTGCACCAGTGTGATTATTAACGCCGGTGCGTGTGAGTTCCTTACAATTCATTCTATCACCTCTCACCATTGTATCACGATTTCGTTGTGACCTTCTTTCAGGAAGGTCCTTCTCTCATCGATAATTTGTACTCTTTTTGTATTCTTTCATTTAGTATTAATTTTTTTAATTTTTCATCTCACTTAAAGTTAACTTTAAGTTTGTAAGACTTAAGAATTACTCTTGTTCCATTTTAAACTTAAATTATTCCAAGTCATTAGTTTTCCTAAAGTCCTAGTATGTACATTTTTGAAGGATTGTATGTACTCTCTCTTTCCAAATTTTAAGTAGGATTCCTAAGTAAAGTTAATAAAACTATTCTTTTTTCTTTAAAGGTGTCTTGCTTTTTATCATGACTTCCTGTCAAATTATTTTCCTGAATGAACGGAATAGTTTAGTAACGTTGGGATAATGCCTCAGTCGCAGCTATAATTACCAAAACTATTACAATTTTTGTTCTAGGAAACCCTTTTTGAGTATTTTTTAAGCTAAATGAACGAGAGGTGAACTTTAAAAAACAAAACTTCTGAAAAACTCTTTAAAAGAACAACTGTTTAAATTTTTTTTGACAAGATTTTGACAAAAACAAGATTTTGTTAAACTGTTTCATCACGTCTTGATGGTGGACAGTTGTAACAGCTTTTATATGATAGCAAAAATGCCACCTGCATTAGAAGCTGTGAACTGCAACTAATTACCGTAATGTATATGAGTGAGCGAAACAGACAAAATTTTCCAAAAATGTTTCATGACTTAAATTTGAATTTTCAATTTTTCCAAAATTTGGTGCTAAAGGACGCTACTAGGTAATTCTTGAAATTTTCTGTCAAAATCTTATCTCCTCGAAAGTAATCTGCTCAAGTTTCGTCAAATGTTACCCACAAAAGCTCCTTGATCAATACCTGGGTATAGCATAGATGATACCCTTTCCTGTAGGCCAGGACAATAGAAGAAGCAAGATTAATATTCATAAATAAGATTTATTTTTTAACAAAATATAACAGCAACATTGATGTGGGACTCATTCAGTAATGAACATTTATCTGGGTATTCGAAGAGGGTTGAGACAGAGAAATTGAAAAACATTCATCATAAGTACAAAAAATATTCAGAAAAACAGGAGAATTTGTGGAGCCCATCTAGAGCAAAAGGGCAGCAGCGCATTAAAGGAGGAGAGACAAAGTTATCAACCCATTTAGGCAGAAATTCTTATCCTCATAAATTATTAAATTAAATCAGTTTTTAGTTGCGAAAAATGGGTTTTCAAAAGTGAAGCTTTCTGATAGAAAAATGAGAAAATACCATTAGGACGGCATGAAAAGAAACTTATTTTTTGAGATTAATTGGTAGTCTGTCAGTATACAAAACCATGAGTGAAAATATAATACCTTAGACGCAACCATCATAGTGGCGCAAGATTGAACATGGAGGGAAGGGTCCTAAAACTTAAAGATTGTGCTACACACAGGGCGAAAATAGTGATGATTTAGAAACTGAGGCAACATTAAAATCACCCAGCAATGACCCATTCCAGTGCTCATGCGATTCATTGGACGATGAAAGAAATGAGGCTGCAAGCCGGTACATTTGAAACATCCAGTGGCAGAAAATAGTACTGCCTGGAAGTAGGACAAAATCATTTTCATCATAGCACAAAGACCTCATCAAGAAATCGCTGTGCTTGACATTTTTGTATCGAGAGAGCAAGAGAGCTCGTGAGAATCGCTCATAGTAGGTGTAAAAGAGGAGTATCATACAAAATCTAAGGAGTAAAAAATAGGTGATAGTTACATCGAGTTTGATTAAGTACAATTCATAAGTACAAAAAAAAGGATCGCTCCAAAGTGAACGTAAGTACATGGGCGCTTAATTTATAAAAAGACAGGAGGGACAAAAGATTTGGAAGAATGAAATGCACAGTCCTAGCTTCGTCCCAGGACTGCAGTTTAGGGAGTGAGAGCAGAGGAGAACCTCCGGTTCCCCTCTGAATTGGCAAGAAGGCAGTTGTCACTATGACGAACGCGATCTCCACCTAAAACAGATGTAAGTCAATTTGACATGTTGAAACAATTATTATAATTAGGAGCTCCTAACTGCAAAACATTAGGAATTCATTTTACTTAGGTTCAATACAAAAATTGATTTTATAGGTCCGGTCATAATTCTTTATTTTCTTCGTAAATTTTTCTAGGTGATCATAAAATACTATTTTTTTTCTATTAGTTGGACCGCGTTAAACAGAAAGGAACCAAGCCACACCAGCTATTGCCAAACTTAATCGGGCAATTTAATTTTTTACATAAAAACGGTTCTGCAGATTTTTGTGCAAATTTCTATGAATTTTCTCCATAATACAAAGCAAATCCCTTAAAATTTTCAAAGGAATCCGCACAAACGTTTTCTCGTAAAAAATCAAGTTCCCCTGTTAAATTTGGCAATGGCTGATGTGGCTTGGTTCCTTTCTGTTTAACGCGGTCCAGTTTTTAGTTTTTATCCAGTTGAAATAGATTCATTTTAATTACAGCATTAGAATTCTGTGCAATTCAGAGTAGAACTCAGCCGTGCTAAGGAAAAACGCCTTATGAACATTCGATAGTTGCCAAATTTCCCCAGATTAATCATGTATTGTTTCGGAAAGTTCCACATGTTTTTCCTTGAAATTTTCAAGTATTTTAGATAAAAAGTGCGAACAAAATCGTCAGAAAATTTTGAAGCAAAACATTCAAAAAATTTCTGGTGAATTCGGTTTTTATTGAGGGGAATCTGGCATCGCCTGATGGCTCATGTGGCGTTTTTCCTTAGCACGGCAGAACTGTCACTGGTTCTGGTAAAAGTAACTGTGTGACAAATTACTCAAAATTAACAGAATTGTTTCCAATTTGGAATGGGTTAGGTAGTCGGGCTACGCACGATTTGCGATGAAAAACGTTGAAAAATTTCAAACCAAGCTAGAGGTCCAACAGTATGCATTCACGATAGAAGTTTTATAGCCATGCTCAGGGCTCAATGAGAATCTGTCTCTTCTAACCCCTTTGGATTCACTCTAGAGATGGTCGAATATTTAGATATTCGAATATTCGATATTCGAATCACCGTAAACCTACCTCTATGTGGACAAGGCCTCCCATTCATAAAAAATGAACGGAAAAATTATGAAAGAACAAACATAAATGTGGTTCAATGATTTTAACTTCCGCCGCTGCGCCGCGAAGACCGCACCGTGTTTGATGCAATGCGTGAAGTATTCGTGCAGTCTTGTAGGCGCTAATATGTGTTACATGTCGATCACCGCACCGAGGGCTTCTGCTTTTCATCTCAAGTCCTCGTCATCATTTCCCTCTAAGTCGCGCCATTCCGGGCCAAATTGCATGTTCGGTTTCTCTCTTAACGCGACTAACTAACGGTGCTGTCTCTTGTATCCTGCTTGTATCACTCAGAGACGACAAAATTAGAAATTACTTTACTCTCAGGAAATGAGAGATTTTGTCGCCTTTTCTCGTTTGTAATTTTTCTTTCTAAATCCGATTTTTTTTTATCTCTACACTTGAAAAAATTGCAAATTTTTGCCGCCCCTTAGATTTGTCGCCATGGGCCGCGGCCCGTGTGGCTACCCCCTTAATCCGGCCCTGATTCGCATCCGAACTATTCGCAATCGCAAGATTCGAATTCTCAAATATTCGCAATAATCGCATTCGAAAAGTTTCGAATATTCGAATTCGATATTCGTCCATCCCTAATTCATTCCCGCCGTGCTAAGGAAAAACGTCGTATGAGCCTTTAGGCGTTGCCAAATTTTCTTTGATAAAACACGAATTTATTGAGGAAGTTGTGAATATCTTTTTACCGATTTTTCAGAAAATTTTGTTTGCAATTCAATCTAAAAGATCTGAAAATTTCAAGGAAAAATACGCCGAACTTTCTTCCGAAATAAATGTTTCCTCAGGGTAAATTTTGGCAACATTCGAATGTTCATACGGCGCACAGTGGATCGAGTCAATGGAAGGAGTCGGGCATGAAATTTTTGACAAAAATTGTACAATTTTACGTTTATTTCGTCACAACTTCAATTTTTAGGGGTTATTTTTATGGAAAATTGTATGAGAAAACCAATGAATCTACTTCTAAAACGTCAACATTTCGTCACCTTCCGGCCTAAGTATCACAAGCGCCATGCGACGTTTCAAAATTTCCGCCGCGATTTTATTTTTTTACAGAGAAATTTTTTGTTGAATCTATTTGAAAATTTCACTGAATTTTATCGGCAGTGCAAAGAAAGTTCAGTGAAATTTTCGGACAGCTTCGTTGAACAATGTCTCTGTAAAAAAATAAAATGACGGTGGAAATTTTAAAACATCGCATGGCGCTTGTGATACTTTGACCGGAAGGTGACGATTTCATATTACAGAAGATAAACGCTTTTGAAGTTTTTAAATCATGTTCGACCTCTCCCATTGATTCGATCCACTGTGCGGCGTTTTTCCTTGGCACTCTGGATTTTTGGATTTTACTATACTTTGCAGACTTACTTTGAGTGGTATTTGTTGGGAAGGACGCGGCGAGGGGCTCCTGGGGAAAGCAGGTCAGTTGTTGTTGGTCTCCGGGATGCCGGGGAGGGACTTTCCACACGCGTCCCCTAGACTGGTGACCCCTCTCTCTTCCAGGTCCTTCCAGTGCTGGTAATTACTTCGCATGTGGTACAACATCTCGGGCATGTCGATAAATGCTGGAAAGAAAAAAACACAATTTCGTAAATGTTTTTTTGCTTTAATTCCATAGGTGTCTCCCTATTAAATTCCACGCTCTGAAATTTTGAACTGCAATGGAGATGTTGCATGTGTGAGGAATTTGCGATTTGACTGTTGATTCTTATGTAAAAGTTCGCGAGAAACACGATGGTGCCACTGGGTTTCTCTGAACTCCCAAGCTCAAAAAAAGCTTTTAAGTTGAGGCCAAAATGGAGGGGATATCCCACGCTATCCTCAGAGTCCACGTAATACATCAAGACAAACTCTCCATGCAGAGATAGGGAGCAAATACATTAGCAGTGATGCCGTGTTTTCAGTTTTTGAGTCCTCAAATAAAGTGGCAGCCCTGCCAGTGTATTTGCTTCCTATCTTTGCACGGAGGGTTTGTCTTGATAAAGAGGTGGACTCTCAGGATAGCGTGGGATATCCCCTCCTTTTTGGCTTCAACTCGAGAGCTTTTTTTGAGCTTGGAAGTTGATTTCAGAGAAAACCAGTGGCACCATCGTGTTTGTCGCGAACTTGTACATAAGAATCGATGGTCAAATCGCGAATTCCTCACACTTGCAAAATCTCCATTGAGGGGCTTGGAGGACAAGGCGCATAAGTGCAGTTGTTAAAAAAATCGAGGTATTAATGGTTCCAAGTAAAACTAGTCTTAGTGCATATTCTCTGAAAAATTCGTTCCCAAATTTCATTTTTTAACAACCGAAAGTCAGTTTGTACTTTCTTTCCGCCATAAGGATCCATGTAGGTAATTTTGAAACTTCAAACACGCATTTCTCGAAACGGTAACAACTGCACTTATGCGCCTCGTTCTCCAAGCCCCTGAATTGAAGGGCTGTACGTAGAAAGGGCATTTCGCCATCCTCCGGCTGAAGTATCACAAGCGCCATGTGACGTTGACAAATTTCCGCCGACATTTTTTTCTTTACAGAGAAATTGTTCAACGAAGCTTTCCGAAAATTTCACTGAATTTTCTTCGTGCTGCCGAAAAAAATTCAGTGAAATGTTCAAACAGATTAAACCAAACATTTCTCTGTCAAAAAAAAAAAAAATAAAATGGCAGCGGAAATTTTTAAACGTCGCATGACAATTCAGGCGCTTGTGATACTTTGGCCGGAAGGTGACGATTTCTCAACTGCTGACATGGAGAAAAGTTTGGGGCTAATTAATATTCCAGATTGGAAGCTTTTGGTTTATTTCCTGAAAATATGAAATAAGTAGTGATTTTTCCTCAGTGATCAAAAAATATTTTTTCAAACGTCCGTGCAAATATTTTAGTAAATATAAAAGTTTCCGTTTGAACTTACAAAAGGCAGTAGCACAAAAAAAGTATGAGATATTTAGAAACATTCTGGATCGAGATATTTAGATTTTTAAGGTAGGTATTCGTCGAAAAGTGTGCTTTGGAGTTGGTCAGCATCGGTACCTATCTTCAGCCGCGGCGAGATGCGGAATGCAACTAAACAGCCTCTGCAGTAACCGCATGCAGTATGAGCCAAAATTGAAGGCGCTTCGTAAGGTCCCGCTGTTAGAGGAGGCAACGCAAAAGCAACGCAGCATAGAGGTCCAGGAATCGAATTCAACTGATTAGAAGTGAATCGCAAGTGAGGAAAATCGAAAATTGATAGCACTTTGTAGCAATATATAAAATTTTCCGTGATTTTCCCCATTGCGTGCGCTATTTTCGTCAATTCGGTTGAATTGGTTTGTGGTTAGGCTCATCAAACTTGGTTTGTGGTTACGTTCATCAAAACAGGAGGGTACATTTCACTTATGGTCAAGACTTTATCAAGGTGGCAACTGGCTCATTGCGCAAGATTCTTATGCCATGAGGCTATTTTCAGAATTAAGGGGCTTGGAGAACACGGCGCATATGAGCAGTTTTTTGGCGCGTATACGTAGTATACCGCCTTTGCGATCGTTTCGACCCCCCCCCCCTCGATACAATAACCGAGTCCCCTAGTTCCTTACCGAAAAGTGACTACCGCGAACTTCTGAGATTTTCCAAAGCGTGTAAAAAGTTTACTAATCCGTCAATAATAATGATTAAAATTTGTTTCTCATTCTGGGGCTCGCTAGTTTATGTGTAATGAATACCAAGAGTCTACGTTTCTTGGTTTTTTTTAAAAAAACCTTAGAATGGGGCGCGCTGATTTAAAATATGCATATATAAGCGGAAGCAAGCGAACTGATTCGAGGATGGCTGACCAGTTCGGCACTCCTTGAATGAGAATTTCACTCACTCCGTTTTGTTCACAACGTTGCTTTGACATATCTCCACAACACTGTTATCCTTTTCAAAAGTTGGTACTCCTTGCTCTGATAGCCGGGGCCACCAGGATAGTGGTAAGTGCAATCTGTGATGAGCCTCGAGACTCATTAGACCATTTGCTAAACGTGGCTCATACAGGAGTCCACTAAGCCCTCTCGTCCCCACGCTCCTGATCACTGCGTCGGCGTCACGAAGAACAATGGGCCTTGGGTCCCAACGCGGCCGATACCCGTACCCCAATTACTCACGCTTCATTAACCATTTCACCGTCACGCTAGGATTCATCCAATTTTCAAAAAAAATTGTTTCGCATGTATTTAGCAATTTTTTCCTTACTCTCCGTTAAAACACAAATAAAAAGAGACCTCATTCATAAAAATCGGCCGAATAGAAGAGAAGTTACAGTAATCGAAATCCGAAGAAATCAACAAAACCTCGACTCCTCGATACGAAAAATAAAATGAAGGGGAAAAAAAGAAAGTATAAATTACAATTAAATATAATTGACCTCAAAATTTGACAAACAATTCATTTATATACCTAACGCTGAAAAAACTGGGAGAAATTACAAAAAATTTGCCTCTTGCAAGGGGCTTCTTTGTAAGAATTTTGACCTGAAGACAACGGTCGAATAACAGCAGTAC